CTCTCCATCCCCTAAGTTTTGGTATGATGTGTTTTTATTTTAATTCATCTCAAAGTATTTTCTAATTACCCTTGATTTTTTCTTTGACCCATAGTTTAAGTGTGTTTTGTTTAATTTCCACATATTTGCTATTTTTCCAGTTTTTCTCTGCCACAGATTTCTAGCTTCATTCCACTGATGTCAGAGAAAGTACTTTGTATAATTTCAATTATTTAAATTTACCGAAAATTTGTGACATAACATATGGTTTAAGAGTAGTTTCATGTTCATTTAAAAGAATATTATGTGATTAGTGTATGTTCTATATTTGTCTTTTAGATCTTATTGGTTTATGGTATCTATTTCTTTATTAATCACCCCCCCATCGGTGCGCTAGGGTGGCTCAGTAGGTTAAGTGTCTGCCTTCAGCTCAGGTCATGATCTCAGGGTCCTGGGATCAAGACCCCCACATCGGCTCCCTGCTCAGCGGCGAGTCTGCTTCTCCCTCTTCTTCTGTGATCTCTTTCGCTCTCACTCTCTCTCAAAAATGAAGTAAAAAAAAAAAAATTGAAATTGGGTATTGAAGTCTCCAGCTATTATTGTAGAACTATCTTATATCCCCCTTCAATTCTGTCAATGTTTGCTTCAGATATTTTGGGGCTCTGTTGTTCGATGTGTATATATAATAATAAATGTTCTTTTAAAAAAAGATTATTTTAGAGAGAGCAAGGGGAGGGGCAGAGGGAGAAGGAGAGAGAGAATCTCAAGTCTATTCCCTGCTGAGTGAGGAGCCTGATGCAGGGCTTGATCTCAGGACTCTGAGATCATGACCTGAGCTGAAATCGAGAGTTGGATGCTTAACCAACTGAGCCACCCAGATGCCCCTATTTTTCTATCTTCTTGATGTATTGACTCTTATTAATATATAATATCCTCCTTTGTCTCTTGTAACAATATTTGACTTAAAATTTATTTTGTCTTAGTATAGACTTCCCTGCTATATTTTGGTTACTTTTTGCATGGAATATCTTTTCTCCATTCTTTCACTTTCAAGCTATTTATGTCTTTGGATCCAAAGTCAATTTCTTGTAGACAAATATGAATGGAGGGTTTTTGCTTTTGTTTTTCTTTTAATGCATTCGTTCTGCCAATCTCTTCCTTCTATTTGAAGAGTTGAAGCAGTTACTTCTAATGATGAACTTCTGCCATTTTGCTATTATGTCTTCTTTTTTGTTCCTCAGTTTCTCCATTATGGTCTTCTTTTGTGTTTAGTTGTTTTTTTTTAAATACCATTTTGATTTCCTTTCCATTACCTTTTATGTATATTTTTAATTTATTTTCTTTGTGATTACCTCTAGGGTTACAATTAACATATTAAACTTAAAAACAACCTGGTTTGAATTAAAACCAACTTAGATTCAATAGTATAAACTATGCTCCTATATATCTCCATCACTCCCCCTTTTCTGTGTATTATTGTCACAAATTACATCTTTATAAATTGTAAGCCCATTAACATAGTTTTATAATTATTGTTTTATGTGTTGTCTATTTAATTTCATACAGGAAAAAAGAGGAGTTATAAACTAAAAGTATAATACTATTGGCTTCTATATTTACCTATGTAGTTATCTTTACCAGTGTTTTTTATTTCTTTATTTGGCTTCACTTTACTGTCTAGTGTTATTTCATTTCAAAATAAAAGACTCCCTTTAGCATTTCCAGTAGAACAGACCAACTAGTAATGAACTCTTTCAAGTTTCATTTATCTGGAAATATCTTTAATTCTCCTTCATTTTTTTGGATGATAGTTTTGATAGGTATAGAATTCTTGGTTGCCATTTTTTCCCCCTTTCAGTTCAGGATATATTATCCTTCCGGCCTCCATGGTTTCTGCTGAGAAATTGGCTATTGATCTTAATAATAATCCCTTGAATGGGACAAATTGCTCTAGTCTTTGTCTTTTAGCAATTTGATTATAAAGTGTCTCGGTGTGGCTCTCTTTGAGTTTTCCTACTTGGAGCTTCTTTGATGTGCTGCTTCTAATCTTTTACCAAATCTGGGGAGTTTTTGACCATTATTTCCTCAAATTTCTGCCCCTTTATTTCTCTCATCTCTTTCTGGATCTCCCATTATGCATATGTTGGTATTCTTGATGATGTCCCACAGTTCCCTGAGGCTCTCTCTGTTCATTTTTCTTCATTCTTTTCTCCTTCTGTTCCTCCAGACTTGATCATTTCAGTGGCCCTATCTCTACGTGTTCTCATTCTTTTTTCTGCCTCTTCAAATCTGTGGCTAAGCACCTCTAGTGAATTTTTCATTTCAGTTATTATATTTTTCAACTCCCAAAATTTCTATTTGGTTTCTTATCATTTTTGTCTCTTTATTAATATTCTCTGTTTGTTAAGACAGTTATTCTGCTTGTGTTCCTCCTCTGTCTCTCTCTCTCTCAAATAAATAAATTAAATCTTAAAAAAAAAAAATAACTCTGCCTCCAGTTCCTGCTTGTGCTGAGCCTTGACAAAGGAAAGTTTCAACTTTTAATATTTGTGAGCCCTGCTCCTGGGCTCCCAGGGAAGCCACACTTTAATTTTTACCAAGATCAGAATGACTTAACCAAACTTCAAAGCAGAGGCCCTATTTCTGCCCCAGCACACATTGTACAACTGCTTTGTTAGCAAATAATCTAAAAAAAATTTTCAACTAAAAAAGTAAAAATCTCCCTAAATTCTATTCCCATACCTCCAAAGCCTATAGGATTGCACTTACCAAAAGCATAAGATAAAGTTTGTAATTTTCTGGAATGTCCTTTCTCATGATGATTTATAATCTTGGTGTAACAACAACAACAAAAAACATATATAACCCTGTATTAAACATTCTTTCTCCAGAGCACTCTCTTCTTTGTGAAGATTGTGTATCTGGGGCAGCTATCCTCACTTGGGCTCAAATAAAACTCTCTCTCTTTTTTTAAAGAAATTCTAAAAGGTTTGTTTATTTTGCGTTTGATGCGGGATTGTCAAGTGCAACAGTGAAGAAAGAATTCTTGAGACATTTTATGGTGCAAAAAGGTGTTTTAATTAGAGCATAGGGACAGACCCATGGGCAGAAAAAGCTGTACTGTGATTGTAAGGAGTGACTGATTATATAGGGTTTTCTAACCTAAGGAGGTGACGGTGTCATTAGGGCTCCAGGAAATTGAGTCTATAGGTTCCTGGAGGTCTATTATTAGGATTGTGTTTTTCCTGTAAATCATTAAGACAGTTAAAAATTATAGTGGAGTTTCATGTACTGTATGACTGTGATATTTATCAGTTGACCATTTGTTTCTCTCCTGCCTTTTTTCTTAGGCAGTCACCAGTGCCTAAGCAATGTTAAACGTGGGGTGTCAGCTCCTGTTTTGCCCTCAGCTTGCCTTTTGCTCTCTCATCAGCTTCAACAGCCTAAAGATCAGCCAGAGTTATAATCTTATGTGTTCTCAAGTCTTTTCTGAGCATGAGTCCTGGGCACGTGTGATGCTTTCTAGATGTCCCCATATACACAGGAGTTTTCCAAAGCTCATTCCCCCAAAAAATCTCACTCCTGGCTTTTCTTCTCATGCTTTTCCTCCTAGTCCTTCAGCCTGTCCTTTGCCCCAACTGTTTTTTGGGTTTTGTTCCCCCAAGCAGGAGTTGGTTCATTTGCCTTTCACTGTTTTTGAACATTACATTCCCTAAGTAGCTGTTTTTCTGCCCTGAGAAAATTTGAGTTAGGGAAAACAAAGGTAAGCCCATAGTATCAGTCCCTCACAGAACCCCCACACAGGTCAAAACAAACATAATTCCTTAAGACAAAGTCTCTGCTCCCTCCAGAGCCAGATTATCCAAGCTGCGAATGAGGGCTGGCAAAGGTAATGAAGCTAGAATAAGTGAAAACATGTAAACATCTCCTGCCTTGTTTCAGTGGCCTTTTCCCTGGTTGCACATTTGCTTGTTTGCTGTAAACCTTTAACTATCTTCTGCGTTCTGATAAGGTGGTTTTTGACAATTTTTGCCAGGTTTTAAAAATGTTTTGGGGAAAGGATGGACCCTGGGCCTCCCTACTATACCATTTTTGCTGAAGTCACCTAAGTTGATTCTTACACCATCCAAAAGGTAATGATGAAACAGGGGCCCCAGTAAAGTACCTTGTCTACAATCCCTTAGTAATCCCTTAGTAGAGTCAGAATTCAAATCCATACCCTCTCTACATCTCTTCTATTCTCATTTAATTCAGTATCTGGGGAATTTTATTGTTTCCTATTATTCTCCCCCCACTCAATGAATCTCAGCCCCCACATCTCTGGAATGGCAGATCTATATTTATAACTACTTGAGAACACTACCTAACAAGCTTCAAATTCAGGAAGTCCTAAACTAAATTCATTATATTAACCTCCCGCTTCTCCATTCTCAAACCTTCCCGAAATTTGCTTCTTACTTGCTTCCGGGAATTACTCTCACTTCTCAGTTAAATGGCAGCACCATCCACCCACTTTTACCAAACTCCAACTTTGGAGTTAACCTCATTGGCCAAATCCTGCCTGAAAGATGGAACTGAAAAAATCCTGAACACTTGGGGCGCCTGGGTGGCTCGGTAGGTTAAGCCTCTGACTTTGACTCAGGTCATGATCTCAGGGTCCTGGGACTGAGCTCGCTTCAAGCCCCCGTGGGCTCCACGCTCAGGAGGGAATCGGCTTAAGGATTCTCTCCCTCTGTCCCTCCCCCTGCTTGTGCTCTCTCTCTCAAATAAAATCTTTTTTTTAAGATTTTATTTATTTATTTGACAGAGAGAGAGAGAGCACAAGCAGGGGGAGCAGCAGGCAGTGGGAGAGCGAGAAGCAGGCTCCCCGCCGAGCAGGGAGCCCGAGTCGGGGTTCGATCCCATGATGCTGGGATCGTGACCTGAGCCGAAGGCAGCCGCTTAACGACTGAGCCACCCAGGCGCCCCTCAAATAAATAAAATCTTAAAAAAAAAAAAAAAAATCCTGAATCCTCAGTCTGATCCAGGAAGAGAAACCCTACCCGAGCCCAACGCCTAATCCCGGAGCAGCCCCTCAAAACTCCGCCACGCAGCGCTCGGAGTGGGCCACAGCGCGCGGCCTCTGGAGGCAGGCTTGGGCGGGCTTCCGCTCTTACAGACACTCTTTGCCGGCGCCGCGCCTCAGGTCAGCCCCGGGAGCCTGGAGCCCGGAATCCGGAAGCAGTCGGTGCGGGAGCTCTGGTAGCCGGGGAGCGCGGGGAGCGCCGGGAGCCGGGAGCCTCAGACACGAGGAGAGCCCCGAGCCTGCAGCGCCAGAACAGCAAGCGTCGGGAGTGGGCCGGATCCCCTAGCAGGTGCGTGGGCGCCGCTGGCTGGACCACCAGGCGGGGCCCAGGCCGGGCCCAGTCGGCGGTCCGGGTAGTCCTGGCCAGGAGGTGGCCACGTCGACTCCCTGCCGGAGCGGGGGACTCAGCTCTGTGCCGCTGCTGTCCGTGACTGCGTAGTTGTCTTGACCGCGCTGGTTGCTGTGGCACTGGAGGCGAGCTCCTGAAGCCCGCGCCGTCGGGAGCGTTGGCGTGTTCTCGTGCGAGTGGCGGGCCCAGGTGACAGGACACAGGTGGGGCCGCCAAGGAGAGCGGGTGCTCAGAGCCGGGTCTCTGGGCGCGCCCTGGGCTCAGGGAAAGTGAGCAGATCGCTTACCTTTGTTTTCTCTGACTTCCAGTAGGCAGACACCCTGTCTTCTTCAAATGAGGTATTCTTAAAGTTAGGTTTGGGAAAAGGAAACTCTTCCAGAAAATGCAGTATTTTGGTGAATAACCAGGGAATGTAATTTGACCTCAAAATTAGAAACACCATGATAGAAAATTTAATGTGCATGTTGAAGATCAAAGTTGAAAACTTGGAAATCCGTTAAATACTTCCTGCGGGAAATGCCCAGTGACTCAGCTGGAGGACTGAGTCGGTCCAGAGTAACACGGCACTGCTGAATGTTCAAACTTTTGATTCTGGATTGCAAAATAACAGTAAACATAAAAATATATAAAGTGCAGTGTTATGATAAAGGAGAAATTCACTCTCCATATGTGCATGTTGCAGATAGAGTAGCTGGAATTTGTGAGGAGTAGCTCAGGGAGTTTCTCAGGAGCTGGGGAGGTGTGTTCTTGTCCTGTGCGCATAACACAGGGCCTGATGGCTGGAAGACACTCCGAAATCTCATACGTACACAATAAGGTCTGATGACCACATGAATGAACGCTGACTGTTTAGGAGAAGCTTGGAAATGAGGGAGAGACTGGTGGCAGATGTTAAGAAAGCTGCTAGCCAGGAGAGGCCACACATTTAAGAGAGACTCCACATACAGTCAGTCTGGAGGAAGACGGAAGTCAAGGCCTGACTTGAGATTTCACAGAATTTCATAGTGTTAGTTTCACTTCCTACAATCAGTAGGAAGACAGAAGTCAAGGCCTGACTTGAGATTTCACAGTATTTGAGTGTTAGTTTCACTACCTCCTACAGGGCCTCAGCTGTTAAGAATGGGCCAGGGAGTTGTTTAAAATGTTCCTTTATACTTTGGCTTCACAACAATGCCACTGAACTATAGACTTAAAAATGGTTAAAGTGGTAAATTTTATGTGAGGTACATTTTACCACCAAAATAAAGGCTAAAAATTATCTACACTGTTTGACTCAGTAATTCCACTTCTGACCATCTATTCTAAGGAAACAGTGACAGAGATTTGGCCAAAAATATATGAATAAAACATTTTCTGCAAAGTATATTTAGAATAATGAACAATTTTCAGTAACCAAATATCTGATGACTTGGGGAAGAGTTAAATTACACATAGCCTCTACGAATATTTTCAAAGACTATTTAGTGATATTGGGCAAATTCTCATTAAAAGTTAGATGAAAGAAACTGGCAATAAAATTCAATAAATAATATCCACAAATAACATATTTTTATTAAAATAATTTATAAAATGTATTGATAGAGGAAAGAATAATATCAAAGATATTGAAAGAAATCTCAAAATTTCTCAATGGAGGGATTGTGCTTTTTTAAAACACTTTACTGAGATATAATTTACATACCATTAAATTCACCCATTTTAATTGTATGATTCAAAGATTTTTAATAAGTTGTGCATCATCACCATGATCTAGTTTAGAACATTTCCAGCACTGTAGGTGCTCTTTATTTTTCTTCATACTGGTTAACCTACTTTGGAGAGAAGTTATTTTTTAGAAAGACAAATTCATATTACTTTCCTAGGAAATTTAAGCAAAACTGAAAAGTAATATAATTTAACAAGAATAAAAATTATTTAAGCTCTTTTACTCAGTATTGTTTAGGATTTCAGGACTGTTTTCTAAGACAATCATTGAAATTGCAAACAAAGATTTATATGTAAGAGGGTACATCATAGCTTTTTTTTCTTAAAGATTTATTTATTTGAGAGAAGAGGGGGAGCACAGAGGGAGAGGGAGAGACAATCTTCAGCAGACTCCCCACTGAGCTGATCCTGGAGCCCAAGAGTCAGACACATAACCGGTTGAGCTACCCAGATACCCCCATAGCTTTGTGGGTTTTTTTTTTTTAAGATTTTATTTATTTATTTGTCATACAGAGAGAGAGCACACGAGCAAGCACAAGCAGGGAGAGCAGCAGGTAGAGGGAGAAGCAGTCTCCCCACTGAGCAAGGAGCCTGATGTGGGACTCGATCCCAGGACCCTGGGATCACGACCTGAGCCGAAGGCAGATGCTTAACCAACTGAGCTACCCAGGCATACCTATAGCTTTGTTATTGATACCAAAATTTAGAAGTAATTTGATTGCCCAACAATAGAAATAGTTCATTTATGATACATATCTAAGATAGCCTCTATTAAAAATGTTTTCCAAGAATAATTAATGATTTAATGCTAAAGACAAAATGCTGACATAAAATGCAAGATAGGTATTATGAATATGGTATGATTTCAATTTTGATAATAATATAGTCCATTACAGTACATACACACAGAAAAAAAGGCCTGGAAGAAAAGGCCAAAGAAATTGTTAACATGACCTCTAGGTTTTGAGATTATTTTGCTGCTGTTATGCAGTTCTGAATTTTCCACATTTTCTAAGATGGGCATGAATGACTTCTCTATTAGAAAACATTTTTTTTTAAGATTTTATTTATTTATTTGAGAGTGAGAGAATGGGAGACAGAGAGCGTGAGAGGGGGGAGGGTCAGAGGGAGAAGCAGACTCCGCGCTGAGCAGGGAGCCCAATGCCGGGCTCAATCCTGGGACTCCAGGATCATGACCTGAGACGAAGGCAGATGTTTAACTGACTGAGCCACCGACTGGATGGCTCAGGTCATGATCCCAGCGTCCTGGGATGGAGCCCCACATCGGGCTCCCTGCTCAGCGGAGAGCCTGGTTCTCCCTCTCCCTCTGCCTGCCGCTCTGACTACTTGTGATCTCTCTGTCAAATAAATAAATAAAATTTTAAAAACAAAACAAAACAAAACATTTTTTAAAAGACCAGGTCAGAGGACTTAAGAACACACCCAGGACAGGTCTAGAGAGGTGGATCTGAGTATCCATTCCCACTTCAGCCTTCCTTGTCCAACATAGGCAGGGTACATTACATAGAGACTGTCCTGAATTGTTAAAGATTCATTAGAGTTTTAGTGTTTTGTGTTTTGTTTGTTTGTTTATTTACTGTCAGAAATTAAAAACAAGATAGATCAATTAATCTAAATAACAGTGTGATACCTTTCATGGTTTCCATCCCAGCATCTCATCTATAAACCCTGGTAAGTATGAATCAATTCAAATGTAAAAGACAATACATAGTATTAATGCTATGGAAAGGCAGAGTTAGATCAAGAGACTTCAGTTTAACCAGACATCATAAGAAAAAAAAATGTGAACCCCTAATTTGTTCATTTACTGAACAGATACTTCAGGTCCTAAGTGTGGGGTGGGGATAGGGAGAAGTGTCCCAGGGGAAGGCACAGCATGTGTGAAGGCCCTAAGGACCCAACTTGGAGTTTTGCCAACCTGGAGAAAAAGCCAGTATGACAAGGGCAGAGTGAGAGGGAGGTGCAGGAGGAGGCTGTGGAGAGAGGCCAGGCCTTGAACCATGGTAAGAAATTTGAATTTCACTTGAAACATAAAAAAAAAAAAAAAAGTTTACCCAAGCTACAGTGTAGAGGAACTTAGAGGCAGAGAGGAGCAGAGGTGGGAGAGGAAGTTAGGTCTCCACTGATGGGGGCCAGGGTGACAGAGGAGATGGGGAAAGTGTGTTGATTGCATCTGCTGTGAGAAGGAAATGCTGATGGCCAAAGGGGGTAAGATAGGGAGAAATCACAGGTAGCATCCAGTGGCTTGAGCAGCCAGCAACACCCAGCAGCCACTTACCAAGAGGAGAACAGGGGTAGGCCAAGGTTGTGGATTTGGCAAATCTGGGGTGCCTGAGGTACACACATTGGGAAGGCAGTGGTCATTTTGTCCTAAATTAGGGGTGGTCCTCATATAGACTTCCTTCAGGGCCTTGAAGAATGGGCACCATTGCTCAGGCAAGGAGACTAGAACAGGGACTCCAGCCTGGGAGAACTGGGCATTCCAGGGGCAGGGGGACCTGAAGGAGGAACACGAACTCTGGGCACGTGGTTAGGAAGCTGGGCCCTGTAGGTTCCTGACAACTACTTGCCTCACTCAGTCAGACGTGGGAGCCGCTTTCCATGAAACACCACCTTATTTGGGGGAACCTATTAGAGATGACTCCAGTTTTTAAAAATTGACAAATAGCTACTGTGAATTAAATCCAGTATCTCACCATTTATTAGTTTATTGTTGAATACCTATAAATGTCTTTCCATTCAAAATATGCCCATTTTTCTTAGAAGTAATTCTTTTCTATATGTGGGAAAGTATGACAATAAAAGAAATCAAATTAAAATACAGATATGTTTCCACTTAAACATAAGTTGTATATTTTTATTACTAATTGATCAATTTTTTCTCTAGAATGCCTTAACAGAAACCCACATAACTAATGGGACTAATGGGTCTTTTTGATTTTATAGAATTATATATAAAAATCTGTGGTTTCACTATCACATAATATTTATTTTTAATTTAGAAATAAAGGCTTCTATGTTCTTAAACCTCACACTTGATCTGTAACTGAAATCTATACATTTCCATTAAGATGTATAGCATGAGCCTATACCGAAGTATTTTGGAGTGCCATAGTATCAGCCATAAAACTAGAAATGATTCTAAAACCAACATACTTATTGCAAGTTTGATCACTGTTCAATTTTTGTTAAAAATGATTGCAGTATGTCTTTGTAAAATAATGCCCAGCTTCCCACAGTTTGCATGTAGAACAATTTTGAATTCACTGTCATTTATATTCACTGAAAAAAGAATCCTTTATTTTATTTTATTTTTTTCACAGACTCACCAGAATTTTATTATAATGTGGTTTATTTATTTATTATTTAAATTCAGTTTCATTAACATACACTGTATTACTACTTTCAGGGGTACAATTTAGTGATTCATCATTTGCATCTAACACCCAGTGCTCCTTACATCAAGTGCCCTCCTTAATGCCCATGACTCAGTCACCCCATCTCCTCACCCACCTCCCCTCCAGCAACTGTCAGTTTGTTCCGTAGAGTTAAGAGTTTCTTATGGCTGGGGTGCCTGGGTGGCTTTTTTTTTTTTTTTTTTTGAGGGGAAAAAAGCCTTTATTGATAAATAGATTACAATGAAATAAATAGAGTGACGGTATGTTGGGGAATAAAAACTCGGGCAGGATCTCCGTGTCTCCACCCCAGCTCTAGCTTTCAGCCTCCACCTTCCTACTGGCCAGTTTGGACAATGAGGCCTTGGTGGGCAAGTCCAGCCTCCTTGGGCCCTTGGGGGCCTCTGTCTTCCTGGCCAGGGGTTCAGGCACCATCTTAGACCCACCAGCCCTGGGAAGAGCAGTGGCCTTGGCTTTGGGCCCCACCTTGGCCGCATGGGCAACGACCTCCTTAGGGACGTGATTTTCCTTCTTTTTGGCTGGAGAAGCAGTACCCTTCTTGGCCTTGGGGACCGTGGGTTTTGCACTCCGACTCCCAGCTTTTGTTTTCCTGTGGGCCTCACAACCCTGGCTCTTCCTTCTGCCTTTGACCTTTGACTTCCCACTGGGCCCGGTGGCACTGGGAGGGGCCCGTGTGGCCTTGTCTGGCTGTTGGGAGGCCTTTCTGGCCTCACTCGCTCTTGCCTCTTGGTCTTTGGTTGGGCCGCCTTTCTTGGGAGCCTTCTCCTTGGCTGCACCTGCTTTGGGAGGAGCCGTCCTCACCTCTCGCAGCTTCCTGGGTCCCCTTTTCACCTCGCCTGGGTTGGGAGGGTCATTCTTTGCCTCTCGGTTTCTTGGGGACCTTCTCCTTGGCCTCACTGAGTTTCCTGGGGGCTGTCATGATGGGTGTCTTCTTGGGTTAGACTTTCCTCTTATGCTTGGGAACCAACTAGCTTTTCAGACTCAGACACCCAGGACGACCCCACTGTGGAGGGCAAGGAGGTTGAGGACGTTGAGGAGGTTGAGATATCACTGGAGGCAATGCTCCCAGGAGCCATTGCATACGCAGACGCAGATGCAGATTGTCAGACCCCCTCCCAAGGCGTGAGCTTTTTTTTTTTTTCCACCCCCTGACGGCTACACAATTACGCACGTCTCCTATGCACTGCAAGCCCCATCCTGCCTCTTGTTCTCTCCTACTTCTCCAACTGAAATATGTGTTGACAAGCTGTACGTGTGGACACAAAAGGTGTTAAGCATCTGATTCTTGGTTTTGGTTCAGGTCATGATCTTGGGGTCTTGGGATCGAGCCCTGCACTGGGCTCTGTGCTCCACGTGGAGTCTGCTGGAGATCCTCTCTCTCAAATAAATAAATAAAATCTTTTTTTTTTTTAAGTCTCTTATGGTTTGCCCCGCCCCCCATTTTTATCTTATTTTTCCTTCCCTTCCCCAATGTTCTTCTGTTTTGTTTCTTAAATTCCATATATGAGTGAAATCATATTGTATTTGTCTTTCTCTGACTGATTTTGCTTAGCATAATACCCTCTAGTTCCATCCATGTCGTTGCAAATGGCAAAATTTCATTCTTTTTGATGGCTGAGTGATATTCCATTGAGAATCCTTTAAAACTATGACTTGACTTTTTTTCCTACAGGATGACTGTAAGGATCTTTGCAAATTGTACCTTCTGTTTGAAAGTCAAGCACTTACCTCGTCAACAGAAGAAAAAGCTACAAAATGACATTAAGGAGAATGGTGGAAATTTTTCCTTTTTATTAAATCCTCAGGTATTTGCAAATTTTCTAAGAACTGTGTGATAAATACTGTGTATTAAGGGAGGGTAGGTCAGGGCACTTGGCTGACACAGTGGGAAGAGCATGTGACTCTTGATCTTGGGGTCTTGAGTTCAGGCCCCATGCTGGGCATAGAGCTTACTTAAAATAATAGATTAATAATTTTTTTTTTAAAGGGAGAACAGGTCATGGTTAGAAGGGTAAGCAGAGAAAATTGGCCACAGGAGAAAGTCACTGAAGGCAGGTGAAATTGTGACATCGTCAACAGGGAAGTTGGGCTGGAGAAAGGCAGAGGAGGGAAAACCACACGTCCCACCTTCTCTCCATTACACCTTGTGAATCTGAGGTTATTAGAGTACAGCTGAAGACCTAAACAGAAATAATTTCAGACCAGCCAAATCTATTTTCAAAGGAGAAAAGTAATGGTGTACAGCATTTGCAAAAAGCATTCTATCTAATCACTCACCAGTATGTCAACCCTGAGCGTCACCGGTATAGTGTGACTCAGGGGACAAAGAAAAATGTGTATCGTAAACTCATCTTGTACTGCTTGTACAGCTTGTACTGCTTGTTTTGTTTATTTAAAGGCCGAAAGAAGCTACTTTCCCTCTCTTGAAATGAATTGTAAGCCTGACATTTTAAGATTGGTGGCTTAGCCTGCCCCTTCCTGGACCATAGCCCTGGGGCTTGCTGACCATGAGTTTGGTTTGTTCTGTGAAGTATGTTCAACTCCAGCTAGATCCTGGGTGCTCTCTGGCATTTAGTAGTTTGCCTGTGATTATCAGAGATGGAATGTCCCTGTTCACCTCCAGTTTAGGCAGAACTGTATATACATCCCTTATACGGCTTTCCTCACTTGCCTGTTTCACCATTTCTATGGATGGATGAATAATTCAGGCCGGTTATACCTTCTCAGTTTATCTTCTGGGTAAAGAATGCCAATATCGTCTCTCATTTTCAGAAATTCCCACATACTGTGAGTGTAAACATTTTGGAAGTTATGTTGCCAATGTATATAAACTTTTGAAATGTGCATACCAGGTATTATAATGGAAACAGCTATGTATATATTGTTGAGAAATGAGCTCCAAGATGAATTGTTAAGTGGAAAAGCAGGTTCAGAACAGCATGTTTAGTACGCTGCCATTTGTGACTAAAAATAGGGGTGTGTACTTATATGTGTGTTGCCTATGCATAGAATAGCTCTAGAAGGATATTCCAGAAACAAGTTACAATAGATGCCTCTGGGGAGATGAACTGGGAACAATGGTACAACATATGTTAATTTATTATTATTATTTTACTTTGTAGATATTCTACAATGTGCATATACTATTTATTCCAAAATAGATTCGTAAAATTACAACTTAACAAATTCAATAAATAATGGATACCTTTTGAATCTCTTGTTCCACTCCTAAGAAAACAATTAAACAAGTGTACAAATATGTGTACATGAAGATGTTCAGCACAGCATTGTTTAAAGGAGTGAAAATTTGGAAATAACTTCTAGGGTTGGTTAATCAATTATGGTATATCCCTACCCATATTCTTTAAAAACTGTTGATTTTTTTAAACTTTCATTTAACTAAAATTATTTGTAAGAGTTTTAGAAATCTGAGAAAGATTACTATCAAGACTTTTAAAGGTGGGCATTCTAGGGGAAGGAGGCAAATGGCAACAGAATAGGGGACCTCGTTTTATCTGGTCCCTTGAATTTAGCTGGATATCTATGAAACCATTCTGAACACACACAAATTCAGCCTGGAATATATACATCTGGAACTCTACAAGCAGAAAAACGATTGCTTTTCGCAAGGTAGGAGGTGTGGAATTGTGAATCTGTGGGGAAATATCTGAAGATAAATGGAGTGGGGAGGGACCCTCCATAAGCCAGCTGCCAGAAAGTTTTATAACACTGGAGTGCAAAATCAGAACTCTTAGAAATCTGCTCCAGTGAGAGACATCCCTTTCTTAAAGAGGCACAGGGGATGAAAAGAGCAGAATTCTAGGTGGGTCATTGTGGTCTCAGGATCCCAGGAAACACAGAAAGAATGGGGGTGCCTGATCCAATAGAGTGCCCAAGCAGTGGAGCGGGGAAACTGGTTATGGTCAGCGAGCCCAGAAGGGACTCTCAGCTCTGGTCACCATAAACCATGGGCCGGGCCGATAGGGAGACTGCTCTTTTCCTGAGCACCCTAAAAAAGACTGGAACATGCGGACTGTTTAACATCCCCTGGGAGAGACAAAATGGTTGTGCCCACAGCTGGGCAACAGCTCTCAGGATGGCAGTGGCCCCAGAAAGGAAAGTAGGATGGCATCCAGCCATTACCTGGGAGCAATGGAGCAGGGTCCATGCGTGAGCCCACAACCACTCACAGTCGCAAAGACACAAAGTGCAATGAGGCTCTCGGGCCCCTGGGACGCCACCAGGGAGAATTGAAGTGGGCACGAATTGCCAGATCGTGTGGGGTGTGGCACACAGAGAGGCTGTGCCCACGACTGGGCAATAGCTGTCAGGGCAGCGATGGCCCCAGAAAGGATAGTAGGACAGCACTCAGCTGTGACCTGGCAGCAGCGGAGCAGGGTGTGCATGAGCCCACAACCGCTTGCAGTCGCAAAGACACAAAGTGAAGTGTCGCTGTGGGGCACCGGGGATGCCCCCCCGGAGAATTGCAGTGGGGATGAACTGCAGAGTCTGTAGGTTTGGTGCACACAGAAGTGGTGATGGTTTGACCTGGAGGGTTTGTTGAAGAAGGGGGACCATGATCTTGCGGTTCTGGGCCAGAGATCCCGGCATGGCCATTTTTGCTCTGACCCTCTGAAGAAGTGCGGAAAGCCACCAGGGAACAAAAGCCACACGGATGACCAGCTCACCTTGAGCCCATCCCCCCTCCCCCAGAAGACAGACCTAAGAACAGGTGGATAACAAGCTTATGGATCCTACAAGACTTTAAAACCCCAGAGCCAGGGGAAAATAATATATTGAGCACCGGGTGTTTCCTCATGACTTGTTTATCCTTCAGTCTAAAATTTTACATTTCTTTTTTTTTTATCTTTTCCCCGTTTCAACTAGATTCTTATTTTACCAACTTATGTTTTTAAGTTGCTTTTTAACTTTTTTTCTCAAATCTATATTTTATAGATTTATGCCTCATTCTAGTCCTTTTTTCACTCTATCCAATTTTATATATGTATATAAACTTTGCTTTCCTTGCAATTTGGGGATGTAGTGTCTTCTAACACAGAGACCAAAATTCAATCAGGAACAAGATCACCTGCTTTGTCCACCCTGTGAAATTATAGTCTCTCTCCACCACCCCCCCTTTTTTTTTTTATCGTTTTGGTTCATCTTGCTTTGTTTGCTTTTCTATGGTGGTGTCTGACCTCTTTGGATTTTTTCTAGGGTGCATTTTGCTTGGGTCGTGGTTGCTATTTTGGACCCTGTTCATTCACTCATCCATCTGTCCTTGGGCAGAATGACTAGAAGGAAGAACTCTCAACAAAGGAAAGAACCAGAGACAATGTTCTGTGCCACAAAGCTAATCAATATGGATATAAGCAAGATGTCAGAGATAGAATTCAGGATAGCAATTATAAAGTTAAGCGCTAGGCTTGAAGAAAGCATAAATGACAATACAGAATCTCTAAGGGCGGAAATGAAATCTAATCAGGCTGAACTTAAAAATGCTATGAATGAGATGCAGTCTAAATTGGATGCTCTACCAGCTAGGGTCAGTGAGGCAGAAGAGAGAATAAGTGATCTAGTAGACAGACTGATGGAAAGGAAGGAAGTTGAGGAAAAGAGAGAAGAAACAACTAATAGCCCATGAAGAAAGGCTTTGAGAATTTAATCACAGAGCTGGAACAAACAATCCTAAAATTTGTGTGGAATAAGAAAAGACCCCAAATAGCCGCAGTAATGTTGAAAAAAAAAACCAAAGCTGGAGGCATCACAATTACGGAGTTCAAGCTGTATTACAAAGCTGTAATCATCAAGACAGTATGGTACTGGCACAAAAACAGACACATAGCTCAATGGAACAGAATAGAGAGCCCAGAAATGGACCCTCAACTCTATGGTCAACTAATCTTCAACAAAGCAGGAAGGAATATCCGATGGAAAAAGACAGTCTCTTCAATAAATGGTGCTGGGAAAATTGGAGAGCCACATGCAGAAGAATGAAACTGGACCATTCTCTTACACCATACACAAAGATAAACTCAAAATGGATGAAAGACCTAAATGTGAGATAGGAATCCATCAAAATCCTAGAGGAGAACAACAAATGTTGGTGAGGATGTGGAGAAAGGGGAACCCTCTTACACTGTTGGTGGGAATGCAAGCTGGTGCAGCCAGTCTGGAAAACAGTATGGAGGTTTCTCAAGAAGTTAAAATAAGAACTACCCTATGACCCAACAATTGCACTACTGGGTATTTACCCCAAAGATACAGATGTAGTGAAAGAAGGGGCACATGCACCCCAATGTTCATAGAAGCAATGTCCACAATAGCCAAACTGTGGAAGGAGCCAAGATATCTTTCAACAGATGAATGGATAAAGAAGATGTGGTCCATATATACAATGGAATATTACTCAGCCATCAGAAAGGATGAATACCCAACTTTTACATCAACATGGATGGGACTGGAGGAGATTATGCTAAGTGAAATAAGTCAAGCAGAGAAAGACCATTATCTTATAATCTTACTAATATGTGGAACATAAGGAATAGCGTGGAAGACCATAGGGGAAGGGAGGAAAACTAAGGGAAGAGATTGGAGAGGGAGACAAACCATAAGAGACTCTGGACTCTGGGAAACAAATTGAGGGTTGCAGAAGGGAGGGTGGGCAGATGGGGTAACTGGGTGATGGGCATTAAGGAGGGCACGTTATCTGATGAGAAGTGGGTGTTATACACAACTAATGAATCATTGAACACTACATCACAAACTAATGATGTTGGTTAATTGAACTTAGTAAAAAAAAGACTTTTAAGTTTGAAAATTACAGATGCAAGTAATTTATTTAGATTTTGTTTTTACAAGTACTTAATGAATTGATTCTTTTTTTTCTAAGTGCACACATATAATCTTAGACAATGCTGATGTTCTGAGCCAGTATCAACTGAAGTCTATCCAAAAGAACCATATCCATATTATAAACCCAGATTTTATATGGAACTCTATCAAAGAAAGGAGGCTCTTGGACATAATGAATTATGATCCTTATAAGGCCATCACACCACCTTCTTGTCAGAAGGCAATCTGTTCTGGTAAGTATTTTATATCAAGCACTTAATATATTATAGGTGCTATAGTAAACATTTTGGTTTATCAAAGGCAGTCAAAGGATTGTCTAGACATATTACAAAAATTATTAAACTTCTTATCTCAGAAAATGGGCAGCCAAATAGTGAAGGACAAAAACTACTTTAGCAATAGGAATAGATTTCTCAATATCCAATGTAGTGTGATCAGATTCAAAAAGACTACAAAAACACTGATAATCTCAGAAAACCTGATTTGTAACTTTATCTGGGAGGGAGAAGAAACTTTGTGTTAAAAAATTATCACCACAACTTAATGACTGGAAATTTTTTGACTAGCCTTTTGCTAAAGAAGTTCTTTCCCAAAGATGATCTCTCGAAAGGAAACATATCTCCTTTATAAACCCAGATTTTATTTTGGAATCTGGTCAAGAAGCAAGCCTTTGGATATAGGGAAATGCCCTTCTCATGAGACATATCAAAAAGAAGCAATTCTGATAAATAATAATCTACAGTAAGCACCTGATATATGTTAGGTATCATATTGTATGTATAAATTGTATTATTTATAGGAGTTTTAGAAATCAATGTTTTGGTGTGGTGCAGCCTCTTTACATAAATGATTGTCCAAAAATGCTGTCATCAGACTTTCTTGCTCTCAGAAAATGGTAGCTAAAACAAAATAGGCAGGATAGTAAACTTCTTTTACATTGAAAATGTTTTTCAACATCCAGAGTGATACAGTCAGATTCAGAATTACTGCAAATACATTGACACCCTTTGAAATTTTGATAGCATAATTAAAACTGGAAAGAAATTCTTGCATAAAAGAAGTTATTCCTATATATCATAATGCTATAGACAGTGTTACGCTTCTCTTAAAAGAAAAATATGAAGCAAAAATTGCTTGGCTTCACATAGGAACAAGAACTCCTCAGGTCCTTCATTTGTGACATGATGGCACTGGGGAACTCATTCTGACCTTGCAGCATACTAGAAATGCATTTCATAACTATGCTCACCATAATCTTCTGAAGACAAAAATTCCATTTGAAATTGAATATCCATCAATGAGTTTCAAATAATACAGATAACATTAGAATTCTCCTCACAATCCTATTAAAATAGAATTATAATATATTCTTACTATCTTTTACTTTTAATTTACCTTCTTCTTGTCCCACTTGTACTATCCTTAGATCACCAATTACTATAGCTAATTTAAGGACATCTTTAAAAAAAGAAAAGAATAGCATGGTAAGTATGACCTATATTCAAGAATCTTAAAAATTCCAGGATTTATTGTTAATAATTTTAATAAATCTTTGAGTAGTAAACAAGTGTTTTGTTTTTGTTCTAGAGGTGACAACAGATGATCTATCCCTGGACAACTCCATGGAGAAGGAAAACATTGTGGAATTCACAGAGTAATCTACTTTTATTTTTTAAAAGATTTTATTTATTTGTTAAAGAGAGAGAGAGAGCACAGGCAAGGGGAGCAGCAGACAGAAGGAGAATTAGGCTCCCTGCTGAGCAAGGAGCCTGATGCAGGACTCTATTTCAGGACCCTGGGATCATGACCTGAGCTGAAGGCAGATGCTTAACTGAGCCACCCAGGTGTCCCCAGAGTAATATACTTCTGATCATTAAGACTCAGTTTGCACGGGGCGCCTGGGTGGCTCAGATGATTAAGCGTCTGCCTTCAGCTCGGGTCATGATCCCAGGATCCTGGGATCGAGCCCCACATCGGGCTCCTGGCTCAGTGGGAAGCCTGCTTCTCTTTCTCCCTCTGCCTCTCTCCCTGCTCATGCTCTTTCTCTCTCTCTATCTCTGTGTCTCAAATGAATAAATAAAATCTTAAAAAAAAAAAAAAAAGAAAGTAACTGAAAACTTTAAAAAAAAAAAAAAGACTCAGTTTGCAAAATGTTTTGAAACCTCAAGCACAGGTTTTTTTGTTTTTTGTTTTTTAAGATTTTATTTATTTATTTGAGAGGGAGACAGAGAGCACAAGCGGGATGAAGGGCAGAGGGAGAGGGAGGGGGACAAGCAGACTCCCCGATAAGCGGGGAGCCCAATGTAGGGCTTGACCCCATGACTCTTGAGATCACCACCTGAGCTGAAGTCAGATGGTCAAACACAGTTTTAAAATGCTTTTAATACATCATGGTTTTTGTACTTTTTTCATTTATCTTGCTTCTCTAATTCTAGGCTTTTATTTATTTAAGACTTTTTACTTCAACTAGTATAGTGATAATTATTTCCATGTTAGTATTATATAAGAGTGAACATAATTGTTAGATTGATTTTAAAAAAGAAAAGGCACTGGAGATGAGATGTGGGTAGTCTGCTTAACCTGCTACCTTACCGAGAAGCCTTTAGACTTGAGACTGTTCTTACTCCCTACCTAATAGGTCAAAAAAATGGAAATAGTGACAACCTTCTGCAAATGGAGTATGTGAGGCTACATTTCTATATGGCTTCGTAAAGCATACCCAAAAGTGTAATGTCAATTAAGCATCACATTGAGCCTTATTTTATTTGTTAATAGTAGTGTTAAAAGACAGAACAAATATCAAAAATGAAAGTACAGATTATGAGAAATCTGACACCTTTGTTTTAGCGGGGGAGGGGGTTGACTGTAGTACGAGAGTTTCTGGTGTGAGCCTGTCTGAGTGACCCGGCTTCTAAGGATCAGAACCCAGGAGAGCGCAGGTCACTTGCCTCTGCTAGGATCGATGCTTTCTCCAGTGCCCTGGCCTGCTTCTCTTATGCCTCTGCTTCTGCTTCATGCCACCCACCTTCCAGTGCAGACACTCAGTATTTGGCATCAGAGCTCTAGAGTTACGCAAGGGAGGAATCCAGCTCATTACATGAGAATTTTTAACTATTTTCAGAGCCTCTGAGGAGATTAGGGACTTAAAATGTATTTTGTATGCAATTAGGAGACTTCTGAGAAACATTTTATGAAAATTCTGTTTCGTCTAAAAGTCCATTTTAATGTTAAAATTTTATTATACAAATTTCAGGTTTTATAAAGACATTGTTGAAATTCCTTGTTTTTCACAAGACTTCGAAGTTGCAAAATATAACACCTTGGAAAAGGTAAGAGTCTGATTTGTATTAAAAAACAAAAACAAACTGAGTGTCTTCTGATTACTTTTCCTGCTTGATAATTTTCTCGATGTTTTGGAAAGTTGTGCATATCCTGAATAAATATTTCTTAATATAAAAGTTGATTTTTAATAATCAAGAAATTTTATACTTAAAATTTAATAATTAAATTTTTAGTGTTTTTATTATAAAAGTAATACATGCTCATAATAAAAATATAAAGAGTACAAAATATTAACATGACTTTAAAAGTAAAGACCTCCTCCCTGTTTATTAACAGTTTCTTGTATTTTTAAGAGTAGTATTTACATTTGACAGCAAGTATTTACATCATGCTGAATTTCCATCACTGTTCATTAAAAAGAAAAAGAGGAAGTTATTTCTCCAGTATCATATAAGGGAAAACCCTAGCATTCAAAATGATGCTCCATTTGTATATTTTAGATATTTTAATAAAATATAACTTGGAAATAACATTTCCTCTGTGACAAAGAAAATATAAAAAGTGGTACAGTTTAAACATATACAGATATATCTATAGTAAAAATACCAGCAAGAAATATACCAAAATATTAATAGTAATTATATATCTGTAGTATGACTTCAGGTAATTTTTATATTTTCTTTATACTTGCTGTATTTTCCAAATTATATCTCCAAATGAACTAGTATTAGTTTTATAATCAGCATTTTTAAATGGTGTGTGTGGTTTGTTATTGAATGGATGCAGCTTCTGAAGGAACAACCTATTTTCCAGATCGGGGCAGAGGGAGGTAAGGAGGTGGCAGTGCTAGAACTGCAGAGCTCCCAGGACCCCGAGGACCCTGCCTTTCTCATATCCGCACATTTCCTCTTGGCCAGTGGCCTCACGGTAATGATCTTTTTTTTTTTTTTTTAAGATTTATTTATTTACCTGAGAGAGAGAGAGAGTAGGGGACAGGGGGAGAGGGAGAGTGAGTCTTAAGCAGACTCTGCACTGAAGTGCAGACCTGGATCTCACAACCCTGAGATCATGACCTGAGCCAAAACCAAGAGTTGGACACTTAACCAACTGCACCATCCAGGCACCGCAAAGTAATGATCTTTATATTGATTCCTGTGTGTTTATCCACTCTGTTCATACCTAGTTTCCTTAACATTGGTCAATGAACCCGCCAATCTGTTAACCTTTTTTACCTGATAAATAATTTTGAAGGGTAGGAACACGTTCTCCATTGGAATATGGCAGGTGAGGGGAGGAGGGTGAGAGCAGTGCTCTGACTAGAACAGCACAGGATTCTTTCTTGTTAAAAGGAAATAGTGAGGAATTCTTAATTTCAGGAAACAAACTGAGGGTTGTTGGAGTGGTAGGGGGTGGGAGGGATGGGGTGGTTGGGTGATAGACATTGGGGAGGGTATGTGCTATGGTGAGTGCTGTGAATTGTGTAAGACTGATGAATCACAGACCTGTACCCCTGAAACAAATAATACATTATATGTTAAAAAAAGAAAAAATAAGAAGATAGCAGGAAGGGAAAAATGAAGGGGGGGACATCAGAGTGGGACACGAACCATGAGAGACTATGGACTCTGAGAAACAAACTGAGGGTTCTAGAGGGAAGAGCGTGGAGGGATGGGTTAGCCTGGTGATGGGCATTAAGGAGGGCACATAGTGCATGGAGCACTGGGTGTTATACGCAAACAGTGAATCATGGATCACTACATCAAAAACTAATGAAATATGGTGATTAACATAACATAATAAAATTGAAAAAAATGTAAAAAAAAAAAAAGAAATAGTCACTGGGTGCAAGGCATGTAGGCCTCCTGCTCCTGTGCTGAATCACTTGTGGGAACTTGACTAAAGTATACTCTGCTAAAGGCAATCTGTTCACACACTTAGTTAAGTACCTACTATGTACCAGCTGATCTACTGGAGGCCAAAGATAAAAATTACTTCAAACCCTGCCCCTCAAAGATCACCACCAGGGATGAAACTACACATTCATGACTGTAATCCACTGGGACAGAACAGCAAGGAAAGCTTTGCAGAGGCCGAGACTTTTATGTTAGGTCATGGTCAAATCAAGGCCATGGTTCCAACCTGAAACTATTATGAAACAAAAATAAATTCAGAACTAATACCAAAATTCAAAGCAAACGCTGCCACACTGTCTTCTGTCCAGACAGATTTACAGGCAGGAAACCTAGCACCTCCTCACCCAGGCACTCCTCAGTAGGATTGGTCCTCACAGCATTGTACTCAGGCTCTGGATCCTTCTGGCTTTGCCCCCACTGGAGGTGTCAGCTCTGGTGCCAGGAGGGAGACTCACCTCAGGTGGGTACAAGATCCATCTGACTTGGAAGCCCACCCACAGTAGCCCATACCTGTTGTAACATGGGCCTAGGTTCAAGATGTCTTTAAGGGAGGTGCCCATTACTTACGACACTGCTTTCAGGGAAACCCAAGGGTCAGGTCTCCCACCTATCATTTATGGTTCATTCATTGAACTCCCAGTCCTGATTTATTAATGAGAAGTCACTATTACCCAAGCAATTTTGGGAACAGATACAAAAAGTTAATCCAAGTCAAATGTGTCTAAGTAGGAGAAAGGGTTTTGTTAACCTTTTACCCCAAAAATGTATGTTGTATTTTGTGGAGGGTTTAGTTGTGTGGATAAAAAGTAAGGAAACATCAAGTTGAAAACCATGATAGAACGTGTTATAATTATTTTTCTTTACTGAAAAAGAAAACTCTAAGGCTGAATATGCCACCGTGTCCCCTCCTGCTTACTACTCTTCCTGGGTACCTGCCTCCCTTGGCAAGCCTGAGTCTGAGAAGGCAAATAGAGGGCTCCTCCGGTGAGTCTGTTTGCTTTGATAGAAATTATCCTTGCTTAACCAACACTGAAAGAGCTGTCCTGCAGAAGAGGCTTTTCTAGCTTGCCTCTCTCATACAAAAACATTTTGTGGAAATCTTCCAAAATTATGTTAAACTCTACCTTCTTAAATGGAGTAATTGGAACGTGATATGCTTCTTTTCTCCACGTTCCAGAGGCTCCCTGTAGCCGCCAATTCAGGAGGGCGGGTCATGGTGTCCTGGGGAGTCTGGCTCGCCCCCTCTTCCCCACTCCAGAGCCAGGGGCTTAGCCAACACCCACAGGCCCCAGCTGGGGCTGGACTTCCCATATTCTCTGAGGTTAATAACTTTGGGACAACCGCTCACAACAGGAGCAAGGATTTCCAGGAAAAGCAGGCAAATGCCACATCCACGGGCAGGTTGGAAGGAAGGAGGCAGTTTGTGCCTATCCAGAGGACACCTTGCCCTGTGCGTTTATGTTATTTGCATGACTAAGAGCTTTCCTGCCTTTCTCCTTGCTGGTAGCTGTCATTTCATTTTGACTGTGTGCTTGTCCCTAACAGTACCTCATTTCTGAGGTATTTTTCTTTTCTTCCTCTCCCCTGATTTATTTTCCTCATTTCCCAAAAAGCTTGAATGCCAGTCTTCAAAGCTAATTAGACTAGTATGTAAAGTAACAGTATGTAATCTCTGAACAGACGTTTGAGTGACTCTCCCATGTATCAAATGCGTCTCTTCTGCCTGTTGCGCCTGCTCAGGCTTTTCTCCCCTTACTTTCAGGTGTTAGGCAGTTTTGTGAAGAATTGAAGATTTAAGTAATTCTTTGAAAAAACTAGTTAATCAATGCCTTCAGGGTAGGGATCCAATGCCCTATTTACATTCCGTTTCCCCATGGTGCATAGGAGGTGTTCAGTAAAGATCCATAGGTTAATAAGTGACTGTATCCTCACATCCTAACATTTTGCTCCACACTATAATTCACAGACTAGAAAGTTCTCTGTAAAGAAAACCTCTGCAGATGCGAGTGAATACTACAAAAATTACATTGAAGAGCTGAAGAAACAAGGATTTCTGCTAAGAGAACATTTTACACCCGAAGCAACCCAATTAGCATCTGAAAAACTGCAAGCAGTAAGATTGATTTCTGTGTGCTATTTTGTGTGATTGACTGAATATTTTTAATAGAAGTGTTTTCTTTACGACAAATAAAAGCCTGGCAAGAGAGAAGAGTTGGAGAACAAGAAAAGTAAACTCACAGGCAGGTGTGGAAACCGGGTGAGGAGTGAGTTCTAGGATGAGCCACAAAATTTCCTGCTTGCTCTCGCAACAAACCCCCATGGCTTTCAAAGATTCCGTTATAACCTAGGCCAAGAATCAGGGGTCATTAACCCTTAATGCCACTTAAACTTTGATATCACTGGCAGGCCTAAAGCTTACAGAGGGAAGGAAAAGGCAAAAGGACACAAAAGTGGGAGTAAAGGAGATAAAGGGGAAATAAAGAGAGTGTAGGGGGGAAGTGGAGGTACAGAGAATTATCAGTCACTTGGCTGCCTGTGACTCTCTCCTTGGCTGCGATTATTTCTTCTCTCGCCTCTTTTCCTCTCAGCTTTAAATCAACCCACCAATGAAACCTTTTGTTGGTTTCTTTTTCACTTTTTTTTTTTTAACTTTGTTGCAGTTGCTTTTGGAGGAGGTAATAAATTCAAGCACTCTGAGCAAAGAAGTGAGCGATTTGGTGGAGATGGTTTGGGCGGAAGCTCTCGGCCACCTGGAGCACATGCTTCTCAAGCCTGTGAACAGGATTAGTCTCAATGACGTGAGTCACGCGTGCCCTTGAAGCAGAACCTCTATTATGACAAACCTGCTTTCAGGCTTAAATAATACCACGTGTGTCTGGGTGCCGGTCCAGCTGTTCCTGGATGCATTCCTGGCGTGCTTTTTCTTACCTTGGAAAAGGGGAACACTGAGAGCACTGAGGGGAAAACAAGCTTCCAAGAAAACTAGATGTTCTTATCTATATAAAATGTCAGACCCAAGAGCTGCTACAAGCTCCAATTTTTGGTGCCGGCTCATTGGGAGGCCTGCTCCTTTAGGTCGCAAGGTGCTTAGCAGGCCTGAGAGACAGCATTGCTCTTCGTCCTGTCAGATGCTCAGACCCTCGTCCACTTCAGAGCCACTGCTTCACAGTCTTGTAACTTGTAACCCATGTTAGGGAAAGGCTAGGGATGCTTGCAGCCTTCCAAAAAATACTGTCCTTAATTTTGTATGATGGAAAGAGCAGATGAAAGAAAATATTCCCAATGGTACAACCTGTACAGCTGCATTGTCATAGTAAAATAATACAGTTTCCCTCTGTGGAACTAAACTAATTTATTTCAGGGAGAAAAAGATTTTCTGGGGCGAAGTCCAAACAGTACTTATGTAATTAGAAACATGTTCTGCTGGATTTTGTTCCTAGTGTGATTCTGACAGCTTTCTAAACTTCTTGTGTGAAAAGCAAGTCTCCTGTGGTTGCATTAGTATTCCTCTCTCTGTGAATATAGACAGATATGGAGATGCAGTTGTAGCTATAGATATGGTTGTAGATGTAGGTATAGATGTAGATACACAGATACAGATATTTAAGGCTCTGTTTTTTTCCTGTAGTTAAGCTGAGCCCGGTTTTGGAAGATTTCTTATGGAGGCGGCATCACAACTGAGATACATCTCCTGTAAACATGGCATCTGTTTTACGGCTGGTGTCCAGTAGAAAACTAATAGTTGTGACATATCTAACAACTATTTTAGTTGCTTTTAGGCACATTCCTTCACTTTCTCTCTGATGGTCAAGAATCAACTTTAATAAGCATATATTGTCCTCCATTTAAAGGTGAGCAAGGCAGAAGGAGTTCTCCTTCTAGTAAAGGCAGCATTGAAAAACGGAGAAACAGAAGAACAACTGCAAAAAATGATGACTGAATTCTACAGATTAATACCTCACAAAGGTACAACAACTGAAAAAATGACGCTGAGACTATTGGCTAAGAAAGAGGACCTCTGCCAGGTGAATCCCTGAAATACAGAATTCAATTTAAAATATGTTGGGGAAGGATCTTTTCAAATCTGATTAATAAGGTAGCCCTGAATCACAAAAGTTGGCTCAAAAATAAATGTTGAGCCATTTTAGAATGCCTTGGGTCCTTATGGAAGTTATCTGAACCATGTTCCCAAACATGAATGTGTTGGAATAGTAGTACAAAGGCAGATATATTTAGAATTGCTACACTGTAATTTTCTATATCAGGTCAGGTCTGAGGACCCAGAGGGGGTCTCACAGGACCAGCCAAGAGGGTCCCTGGCTGCTCACGGGATAGAGATCAAACGGGGGCCAGCGGGAGGTGATGGCAGAGTTTATTGAAGGGAGAGAGAGAGAACAGGTACAGACAGTGTTTGGGAGACTCAGAAAGGAAAGGAGGTCTTTGCTTGGGGCCTGGGGTTTTTATTGAGGATCATGGTCTGGCACCCAGGAACTGGTTAGAACAAAGGGCCCAGGTGTTATTCCTTGGAGCCAGGGGGTCTTCTTGTGGAGATGTCTAGTTCTGGTGGTCTGGAATGCTCTTAAGATAGCTTCATTAGTTCATTCTCACCTAGTCCTTTCTTAGATGTTATCTGTTCTTGAGAAATCTAGAGGACATAACTCCATTTGCATCACAGGCATGTGTAAAGTGGAGGTCCTAGCAAGAATAGAAACAGGAAAAGGAACAAAAGCAGATTTTTATGGAGTTCTTCAATTTCCCTATCTCAAGGAGATGAGTTAGGATTCTTTTTGCAAAAGAAACAGAAAGCTGTCATTGACTTAAACAATGAGGACACTTACCACCCTGTGTAACAAGAAGCCAGCTGTAGGGTGGCTGCTGGTCCAGTCACTTAGAGGTAGAATTATCAATGAGGACCCAGCTTCTTTCCATTTCTGTGCTTCCTGTAAACTTAGCTTCCCTCTCAGCCTGGCTCACCTTTCATGACCTCACAGCTGCAGTTGTTTATAGCATCACAACCAGAGTATTTCTTTTCTTGTCTCTTAGGGCAAGCTCCCCTGGCCCTGTAGACTCTTTGGTAAGTTCTTTGCTCAGAACTGAGTCACATGCGCATTCGTAAGCCAGTCACTGGCAAGGAGAGTGGAATTACTGACTCTGCAGAAATGGGCCCTCTCCCTTGAGCTGTAGGGGAGGGAGCAGGGCTCAGTTAGCAAAGAGGAAAGCAGGAAGGCAGCCCCAGTGTCCCCCTCACCTTAGATGAGACCAAGTCACTCCCTGGCTCTGAGTTGCCTCATCTGTGCCTGAAGGAATTGGGACAAGATCAGAAATCCATGACCTAGACTGCAAAAGAGTTCATAGGTACGAAATACCGCCTGTTTGAGGGAAATTATAGCTTTCAACAGATTCCTGGAGGCATCTGTAATCCAAAATAAGTGAAGAATCAACAAATGAGATGAACCAATAAATGAGATGATAAAGGAGCCTTCCAAATTTAGTTTCATGATTTGCCTACCACCCAACGTTAAGAACTTCAGTTGCTGGTTCTCTCATTGAGAAGGTGTATGTAGTGTCCATCCAAATACTTTTTCATTTAACTTTTTTATTTTCAATAGGTAATACATTTGTATTATTCAAAAGTCAAAATTATGTTTTAAAAGGTATACTCAGAGTAATCTGTATTCTACCCTGCCCCTCCTCCACCCATTCCAACTCCCCAACTCGCTAGATAACCATTTTTATTAGTGTCTTGTCTTTGCAGTTTCTTTATACAAATAACTATAAATATGCACATATATACTTATTCCTCTCCTCTTTTTTTACATAAAAAGTTGTATACCATCTTTGCTGTTCTGCACCCATTTTTCCCACTTAACATATCCTGTACATAGAAAGCATCCTCATTCACCACATGATATGGGCATTCCCTAATGCCAAACAGTTGGATTGTTTCCAGACTTTGCTACTACAAACAATGCCAAAGGGAATATGCTTGAATATTTGTCATGTCATAGCTGCAAGGAGTGTCTCTGAGATACATCCCAGAAGTAGAAGTGCTGGCTTATGGGATCAATGTATCTGTAATTGTGATAGATTTTGTCTTATTCCCTCATAAAGGATCTACTATTTGCCCTCCCACTATCAGTGAACGAGACTTTCTATTTCCTAGAGTTTTACCAAGTGTATTTGTCAAACTTTTAGACTTTACCAATTTTATGGATGAGAAGTGACCTCTCCGTTACAGAATTTATATTTAGTCTATGTGTTTGTTTTTTTTTTCTGTGAACTGTCTATTTATTTCCTTTGGCCCTTTTTCTTTTGGATCTTGCTATTTTTCTTCATGATTTTTAGAACCTCTTAATAAGTTAGGGAGCTTCGTCTGGGATATGAGTTGCAGATATTTTCTATAGTTCGTTTTGTTTTGTTTTACTTTCTTATGGTGAATTTGGGGTGATTGGTTGACCTGTTCTATTTTACCATATAGAAATTTTTTACTTTTATATAGAAAAATGTATCAGTCTTTTCTTTTATGGCTGGTGTATTTGAATTACAGTTAGCCCCTCCCCACATTGAGGTCATAAAGATGTGTGGCAGGCAAGATAGGGCTCCCCTGTCAATGTCTCTTTCATCTCAAAGATGGTAAAAGCAATACATCCCTATAATAAACGTAATTCAGATTATGTAGGAGCTATGTTCCCTCCTCCAAGCTCCATGACCTATGGGTATACTAAGTATACTTAGGTTCCCTCTCAGGGAAGACAACCATGTCTTACTCATTTTTGTATGGTTCAAACCTGAAACAATGCCTGGCATACAGAACATGCTTCTTGAAGTTTTGCTAACAGAAATGGACTTGAATTCTGATGATGTGCGTTCCTATTTAGTCACTACCCCCTCTTTGCTGTGGAATCTTGAGCAATTAATTCAGCTTCTCAGAACCTCACATTCCCCATCTATACAATGAGGACAATAAGATCTAATAAGACCAGTGCTGTAGTGTGGATTAGAGGAACAATGTACCAGAAAACACTTAATCAACAATGATGTGCTATCCTGATGTACGCTATTATTATTATAGTATATTATGCCACCCCTGAGGGCACAATATATAAGAAAGGTATTACCTTTAATGTGCTATTTACATATTGATCAGAAACTTTGGGGGAGGGTTGCTGGCTGGCTCAGTCAGTGGAGCATGCAACTCTTGATCCCTGGGTTGTGAGTTTAAGCCCCACATCGGGTGTAGAGATTACTTAAAAATAAAACCTTAAAAAAAGACTTCGGGGGGGGAAATCTTATTTTTCCAGTCTTTTTGAGAAAGTGTAACGTGTGCTAAATATTTTGATATATAGTGATTCTAACATCTTGTATTATTTCCATCTACAGCTAATAAGAGACATGGTTAATGTCTGTGAAACTAATTTGTTCAAACCCAACCCCCCATCCCTTGCCAAATACCGAGCTTTGAGATGCAAAATTGAGCGTGTTGAACAAAACACTGAAGAATTTTTCAGAGTTAGAAAAGAGGTTTTACAGAATAATCACAGGTATGCATAAAGGAAATGTCTTAGTATCCGTTATTATGTAATACTATTTTAGATTCTGTTAAAGAACTACTCCATAATTACGTATGTAATTTAATCCTCTGTAACAAGGTAGCTATGTTGTGATGACAGATTACTTTTTTCTGTGCTTATAAAGGGACTTGGGGACGCCTGAGTGGCTCAGTCGATTAAGTGTCCAACTCTTGATTTCAGCTCAGTTTTGATCCTGAGTTCAAGCCCCGTGTTGGGCTCCATGCTGGATTATATATATATCTGTATATAATAGGCCTTGGGACAGTATTCTGTGCTTGAAAACACTCTCTACTACTCTACTCAAAATAATTTCAAGTTTACCTAATCTTGCTGAGAATTAAATTTAAAAATTTTAAATCACGAGGTTTTTTTTTTTGTTTTGAAGGATATTATATAGGAAAATCCCCTTAAGATTTTAAGATGCAGGACTATATGCGTGGCAGCTTCTAAAATGGCCACTCCATGGCATGAAAACCCTCAGCTGAAAATCTGGAAAATACATTAAGAGATAGGACACCCCTAAACGTCAGTCACATTTGTTTCCTCATTGACTGTGAGTCTGTGTTGCTTGTGCCCATGTGCTTTCTACAACCCAGGGCAGCAGCAATAACAACAAACGCATGTGGATCAGCTGCTCTGACAAGCCCTCTTTGGGCGTTAGTTCCTCTGAGAACCTGGACCCAGCTTCACGGTTCAGAAACTAATTTGATGGATTATTCTTGAGGGTGAGAGTAACTTCCGTTGGTTTAGTCATTCATCCCACTAATGTAACTTCCCAGCACTCCAGTGCCTGCACCTTTCTGGCATCTCGACTCTCATTAGGTATAAAGGGCCAGGCTAACCTTAATCAGCCTCACACACTGCTTAGAGCCAAAGGTGGTGAACTGCAGCCCCTTGAACCAACTGCGGAGGCCAGTTGTACATTTTTAGGAATTTTGTGAACTGAGTACAATTAGTAACTTGAGATTGGCTATGGTGGGAAGATTTATACCATGGAAATCAGCAAATGCTACAAATCAGGGTCGTATGTGGGTTTTGCTCTTTTGAGAACTGGTTTTCCAGCGCCTTGCTAGAACCACACCCATCTATGCCTCCCTTATGGACTAATTCAGACCTATCTAAAATTGTGTTCTGCTTTCCTCTGTCAGTCATCCTCAAATGCCGTTCTCAACATTACTTCACACCCACTAGATGAGTATATTTTTTGAAAAAAAAAAAAAGGAAAATTATAAGTGTTAAATGAGGTTGTGGAGAAATTGGAACCCTCATACAATGCTTTTGGAAGTGTCAGATGGCGCAGCTGCTGTTTGGCAGTTCCGCAACAAATTCAACACAGATTTCTTATCTGCCCCAGCAGTTCCACTCCTTGTTATATACCCCAAAGAACTGAAGCAAGTACTCAGACAGATACTGGTACATGAATGTTCATAGCAGCACTATACACAATAGCCAAATGATGGAAACAACCCAAATGTCCATCAGGAGTTGAATAGATTAACAAAATGAGGTAAGAAAAAAAAAAAGGAATGAAGTGCTGATACATGCTACAAATGGGTGAGTCTCAAAAGTATTATGCTAAGTGAAAGAAGCCAGACACAAAAGACCACATATTGTATGATTTCATTTATATGCAATATCTAGAATAGATAAATCGAATCCATGGAGACAGAAAGCAAATTGCCTAGTTCCAGGAGAGGGAAGAATGGGGACTGACTGCTAAATGGGTATGGGGTATTCTTTTGTAGTGCTGAAATGTTTAGATAGAAGTGGTGGTTGCACACTTTGAGTATACTAAATACTACCGAACTGTACACTTAAAAATGGTTAATTTTATATTATGTGAATTTTATGTCAATTAAAAAATCTTTTCCTATAGCTCTTTTCCAGATTTCACTTTTATATATAATCAAATTATTTTTATTTCTTTTGATTTGACTTTTGACCCTCCCGTAGGTATCTGCTAGGATCTAATACTAATTAAGAAACTAGTAACAATGAAGGTAGAATCAGGAGGAGAGTAAATGACTTTTTCCAGGGAATCAAAGAAAAGGAAGAGCCATGTCTTCAAGCCTAGGGAGGGGAGTGCAGTTCAAGCATCTAATGTAACTCAGGCAGGCCTTAGAGATCTCACCTCACACCCAAGTGATGTTGAACTGTTCATATGACAAAAGTGGATCTCTCCCTATGGAGGGATTCTGCTGCTGTGAAGAATTAGATTTTCTCCATTTCATTTCACTAATGATGATTATTTCATATTAATTTTTTCTAGTTATAAAATTCATGTTCTTTGCTGAAAGTTTAGACAATATGTGAAAGCATGATGAAAATTGAAGATCACCCAAATCTCACCACCCAGAGATGACCCAGAGATAATATGACCACTGTTAACATGTTGGTGTAGAATATATCTCAAACTCAATATTTGATTCTTCTCCACATCTAATGGTGTACTGGGAAGCCAGCTCTCTGAAATAAAAGTCCTGACTTATAATAACTGTTGGTTTCTGTGGTGTAAATACTCCTACTATAGCTAGTGTCAAGCTATCAGTGTGACGCCAAAGAACGAGGAGTTGGGAAAACCTGCTGGATAGGCTCTCTTACATCCTGTACCCCACAACTCTGTCCCTCCATAGTCCCCCAGTCTTTCCCCATGCTTCCCCATCCTAGTCACCCACCCAGAGCCACTGTCAACTCTCCTTCATCCCCACATCACCATACCCTGTCAGTTCTGTCTCCAAAATGTCTGTAATCCATTGGCGTCTTTCATTCACACTGCTGCCACCTTTAGTCCAGACACTGATGTCTCACCTGCTTCCGGATGCTCTTTCTGCTCCTGCCTCAGCCAATTGATTTTCCCAAAGCAACCAGTTAGGTCTTAAAATATATACTGTATTATATGCAGAAGAATGAAACTGGACCATTTCCTTACACCTCACACAAAAATAGACTCCAAATGGTTGAAGGACCTAAACGTGAGACAGGAGTCCATCCAAATCCTAAAGGAGAACACAGGTAGCAACCTTTTCGACCTTAGCCGCAGCAACTTCTTCCTAGAAACATCGCCAAAGGCACGGGAAGCCAGGGAAAAAATGAACTCTTGGGATTTCATCAAGATAAAAAGCTTTTGCACAGCAAAAGAAACAGTCCACAAAACCAAAAGACAACCGACAGAATGGGAAAAAATATTTGCAAACGACATATCAGATAAAGGGCTAGTATCCAAAATCTATAAAGAACTTATCAAACTCAACACCCAAAGAACAAATAATCCAATCAAGAAATGGGCAGAAGACATGAACAGACATTTCTCCAAAGAAGACATCCAAATGGCCAACAGGCACATGAAAAAGTGCTCAACATCGCTCGGCATCAGGGAAATCCAAATCAAAACCTCAATGAGATACCACCTCACACCCGTCAGAATGGCTAAAATTAACAAGTCAGGGAACGACAGATGTTGGCGGGGATGTGGAGAAAGGGGAACCCTCCTACACTGTTGGTGGGAATGCAAGCTGGTGCAACCCCTCTGGAAAACAGTATGGAGATTCCTCAAACAGTTGAAATTAGAGCTACCGTTCGATCCAGCAATTGCACTACTGGGTATTTACCCCAAAGATACAAATGTAGGGACCCGAAGGGGTACGTGTACCCCAATGTTTATAGCAGCAATGTCCACAATAGCCAAACTGTGGAAAGAGCCAAGATGCCCATCGACAGATGAATGGATAAAGAAGATGTGGTATATATACACAATGGAATATTATGCAGCCATCAAAAGGAATGAGATCTTGCCATTTGCAACGACGTGGATGGAACTGGAGGGTGTTATGCTGAGTGAAATAAGTCAATCAGAGAAAGACATGTATCACATGACCTCACTGATATGAGGAATTCTTAATCTCAGGAAACAAACTGAGTGTTACTGGAGTGGTTGGGGGTGGGAGGGATGGGATGGCTGGGTGATAGACATTGGGGAGGGTATGTGCTACGGTGAGCGCTGTGAATTGTGCAAGACTGTTGAATCACAGATCTGTACTTCTGAAACAAATAACGCAACATATTTTAAGAAAAAAGGAAAAGAAGAAGATAACAGGAGAGGAAGAAAAGGGGAGTATGTCAGAGGGGGAGACGAACCATGAGAGATGATGGACTCTGAAAAACAAACTGAGGGTTCTAGAGGGTAGGGGGGTGGGGGGATGGGTTAGCCTGGTGATGGGTATTGAGGAGGGCACGTTCTGCATGGAGCACTGGGTGTTATGAACAAACAATCATGGAACACTGCATCAAAAACTAATGATGTAATATAGTGATTAACATAACAATAAAAAAATTAAAAAATATATATATACTGTATTATGTCATATTGCAGTAATTGTCACTTTCAAAGACAGGTCTTTCTTGACCATCCTCTCTCTGAACCTGGTTGGCTTGCTGAGTAAAACTTAAAATCAGTTATTTGTTAGCTTTTAATTTTTAATTTTTGTCTCTCTCCATTAGGATTCAAGCCCCATGAAGCCAGAGACCATATTATCTCACTTCCAGGGCCTGGCAGAATACTCAGCCTAGAGTGTATAGCATGTATTTTTTTTTTTTTTTTAAGAGAGAGAAACGAGAGCACAAGCACATGCGTGCGGGAGCAGAAGATGGGGAGGGGCAGAGAGAGAATCCCAAGCAGGCTCCATACTTGGTGTGGCACCTGACCCAGGGCTTGATCTCATGACCCTGAAATCATGTCCCCAATGAAATCAGTAGACTGATGCTTAGCTGACTGAGACACCCAGGTGCTTCCAGAGTGTATTTGTTGAATGAATGAATGCATGAATGAATTTCATCTATATATTATATGTATTATATATATTATATATTTGACAAAATTTGAGATCATACCATGCATAAAGTTTTGTAAACTATTTTTAAAATTTACTTTACTACGAGGTTTACTTCATATACTTATTTATTTTTTAAGAGTGTGATTTTTTTTAATGACTACATATTTCCAAGAAATGTTATGTTGTGATTCACTGAATCCATTCCATAATAATGGCCATTTGGGCTGTTTTGCGTTTTCTGCTAATAATGATTTTTTTTAATTTTGCTTTTGATTATGCAGTCTCAAGGTTTTTCTTCCACTTTTTACAGCAAAGGTCCAGTGGACATCTTGCAGATATTTAGAGTTGGCAGAGTGAATGAAGCCACAGAGTTTTTGAGCCAGCTTGGCAATGTGAAGTCCTTACTGCATGGATCTCCTGTACAAAGCTTTGTAGGGATCCTGTCCCGGTAAGAGGATACCATCTTTATTTTCTAAATGTTTCAGCCTCATGAACATGAAGTGTTCTACCCTTTTTTCCTATTTTTTTCCCATATTACATGGGCCTCTTCAGTTAAAATCAGCTGATTGCATTCCAGAGAAAACCAAACACTTTAAATTGTAACAAGTGTAATTTAAATTATGTACTTATTACTACATATATTTTAAAGTATAGTACATGGGTATGAATTGCTTCTTGAAAACAGTATCATATGAAGAAAGGGGATTCTCTATTTCATGGCTCTTCTATGTGTATCTAATCTAGGGAACATCCAATACTTAAGAAGAAAGGTCTAGAAATTAGAGTTACCTAGATACTGTGAGTTATCTATTCAAAACATAACTCTAATTTTCTGTTTGCTTTTAATAACCACTTAATATTAGAGCTGAACTGCAGTCACCGGGAGCAGGGGAGGATATGATTACATCTGGATCCTTAATTAAATACCTAAGAAGAAAAAAAATGCCTAAGAAGAAACATAAATATACAAGATCCATCTGGAAAAAATTTTAAACTGCCATTGAAGGACCCAAAAGATACTTGCACTAACCAGAAGGATGCCAATTTTCCTTGAGTTAACCTATAAATTTAGAGCTATCACAATAAAAGTGCTAACAAGATATTTTTTTAAGAAATAAAAAGCTGATTCTACCGTACATATTTTTTTAATTTTGATTTTACCAGGGTAATTCAGAAAAAGAAGATTAATGAGGAAGAATTAACCAGTCAGACACTAAAAACATTTTATAAAGCTATGTTAATTAAAACAGTGAGGTGGTACGTGAACAGATGAGTCACGGAATAAAGAATCCAAAAGTAAATGTAAAAACATAGAAGGTTTAGTATATGATAAAAGTACCTTTTATTTCTGTGGAAGAAAGATAATTTCTTCAATGCTATATATTGGGACAGATTACTACCTGGAAAAAATACAAAATTGGATCCTTACCTCATTCCTCACACTTAAATAAACTCCACACAGAAGAAAGATTTAAAAATTTAAAATTAGGAATGCCTGGATGGCTCAGTCGGTTAAGCATCCGACCCTTGATTTCAGCTCAGGTCATAATCTCAGGTTCCTGGGATGGGACCCATGTCGGGCTCCAAGCTTGGTGGGGATGGAGTCTGCTTGTCCCTCTCCCTCTGCTCCTCCCCCACCCCACCCCGCAAATAAATAAATAAATAAATAAATAAATAAATTTTTTAAAATCTAAAATTATAGGTACTAATTGAAAAATGGCTTTAATTTTTTTTAAAAAGTTTTTTTAAAAGATTTTATTTATTTATTTGACAGAGAGAGACACAGTGAGAGAGGGAACACAAGCAGGGGGAGCAGGAGAGGGAGAAGCAGGCTTCCCACTGAGCAGGGAGCCCAGTGCAGGGCTCGAGCCCAGGACCCTGGGATCATGACCTGAGTCGAAGGCAGCCACTTAACCAACTGAGCCACCCAGGCACCCCTAAAAAATTTTTTTTAAATAAACTTTAAGTAGGACTAAAACCCAAAAACCATTTTACAAAATTAATTACATTTCATAATGCAAAATTCAAACAGTAGGTATTTATGTAATAAAAGCAGAAGTCTCCTTTTATCCACCTTTCCAGAGATAACCATGGTTTAACTTTGATTGCAGAGAGTTCTTAGCAATGCTAGAAGGCCAGTAGAAACCTGCATAAGTTCTTGAGCCAGAAAGAAATGCAGTCAGCATTAGGCTTAAACATGGTTCTATTGAGCGCCGGGGGCCTCAACAGGTAGGAGACAGAGTCCTGAGGCAGGAAAAATGGCCAGCATCTCAGGGCTGACCAAAACAGTGGTGAGAAATGATCATAGTTTGGTATATTTGAACAACACGTGGAATTCCTTCTGTAGGATTACTCTGAAATACATTTTGCCTTTCATTTCATGCTCTTTATTTACTTACTGTCTTTTAATTGGTGTATTTTTTTCCAGCTTTATTAAGGTATGATTGACAAATAAGAATTGTATATATTTAGGTTGTACGAGGTGATTTTTTAGAGATATATAACATGATGACTTAATGTACATGTACTTTGTGAAATGATTACCACAGTCAAGGTAATTAACACATCCATCACTTCACAGAGTTATCTTTTTTCTTCTTGTGGTAAGAACACAAGATCTGTTCTTAGCAAAGAGTATTTATCTTATTTATCTTAAAATTGAAAGTTTGTATGCCCTTTACCCAACATCTCCCCATTTTCTCCAACCCCCAGTCCCTAGAAACCACCATTCTGCACTCTGGTTCTATGAGTTGGACTTTGCTAGATTCCCCATATATGTGAGGTTGTGCAGTATTTGTCTATCTGTGCCTAGCTTATTTCATTTAGCATGTCCTTAAATAGTACCTGTCTCTGCTAGAATTATGAGGCTACAATAAAAGATACCTTTCTTCTAGTAAATCACTGGAATGTCTTTTTCTTTTTAGTGGGTTGCTTTTACCTAAAGTAGTTGAAGATCGTGGCACAAAGAGAACAGACATTGGAAATCTTGGGAGTGGAGTATATTTCAGTGATTCCCTCAGGTTAGTGTATTATATATACTATATATTATATCCTTAATCCTGTTATACCCATCATCAAGGATTTATTACTGAGTAGTTGCTACGTGATTTCTTCCATCTTTCCTTTGTGAGGGATTTCTCGCCCAAGTAACAGATCATTGAAAGCAACCAGTTTTCTCAGTATACTATAGAAAAATGTCTTTTGTAGTGGAGATTTGGGAAAATTTCAAATCATCTTAGTGATTTTACTATCCTGAGGGTCTTTACATTTCTTTTACCCATTTAATCCTTACAACAACCCTCTCAGGTCAGTTCTGTTATTATCCCATATCACAAAGAATACTGAGTGACACTGAGGGTATCTTGCCTAAGGTCACACAGCATTTTGTCTTTCTCCAGGACCAGTGATCTTAACTTCTACACCACAGGATTTCTCAAAACAACCTATCTATTGTAAATAAACTCTGTAGGCCTAGAATAATATTTCATGGTCAGTATCCTTGTTAATATTTAAACCTGTCTTCATAATAGCCACAATGTATTGAACACCTTGGGATGCCTGGGTGGCTCAGTCGGTTGGGTGTCTGCCTTCAGCTTGGGTCATGGCCCCAGGGTCTTGGGATCGAGTCCCATGTTGGGCTCCTTGCTCAGCAGAGAGTCTGCTTCTCCCTCAGCCTGCCACTCCCCCTGCTTGTGCTCTCTCTCTTTCTCTCTCTAACAAATGAATAAATAAAATCTTTAAAAAAAAAATGTATTGAACACCTGCGCTGTGTGAGGCACCAGGCTATGTGCTTCATGTATATTCTCTATAAACCTCACAAGTGGTATTGTGACATCATTTTATGAAAAAGAAACACACTAATGGAGGATAAGTAACTTGCATAAGGTCACAGAGCTAGTTATAGGATGGAGCCTGGGTTCAGGCCCAGGACAAAAGGTAATTATCCAGGATATTTAAAGAATTCCTACAAATCAGTAAGAAAAAAATAAAGAGCTCAATAAGCAAATGGACAAAAGACATGAGCAGGAACCTAATAGAAGAGAAAACATGTATAGACAATGACATTTGAAAAGATTAGTAATCAACAACATGCAAATTGAACTATAGTATACCATTTTACACTATCAGAAAAAAAAAGTTTAACATCTCTAGGTGTTGGTGAGTCTCTAGAACAGTCTGAACTCTCAGACCCTGTTGATAGGACTATAAAATTATAAGCCCTCTTGAGAAAATTTTGGCATCATCTGCTATAGTTGAAGAGCATAGTTGATAGTATGACTCAGGAATCCTATAGATTAGCTGGCCTATGAACCAAGAAGCAGTGGTTCTTAATCCGGGCTACACATTGGAATCACCTGGAGGACACTGTTTTAACTTGAAGGACTTTTTTTAGTTTTTATTCAAATTCCAGTTAGTACAGTATAATATTAGTTTTAGGTGTACAATATAGTGATTCAACACTTCAGTGCAGGACTGGGTGCTCATCACAAGTGCACTCCTTGATCCCCATCACCTATTTCCCCCATCCCCCCCCACCTCCCCACCTGGAGGAGCTTTTAAATATTACTGGTGCTGATTTCACCCCAGATCAATTAAATCAGGATCTCCAAGAGTGAGGTTTGGGTATCAATAGTTTTTTAAGCTCCCTGGATGATTATAACATGCAGCCTGGGTTGAGAATCACTACCCTAGTAAGTAGACATAGACCAGGAGACATGTACAGGAATGGCCAAGAAAACTGTAATACTGATGTCCATTGACAGTGGAATGGATCAAAAAATTTTGGTGTAGTCCTATGTGGAGTGCTATATGGCAGTTTTGACCAGTGTACTACAGCTACACATGTCTGATGGATGAGCCCTAGAACCATAACGTGGAGCAAAACATTGCAATGTGATTCTATATGTATGCAAAGTTCAAAGACAAGCAAAACTAAGCATGTTGTTGAAGGACACATACCTATGCATCAATACTATAAAAGATGGAGGAGCAAGATGGTGGAGGAGTAGGAGACCTGGATTTCAGGAATTCAGCTAGATAGGGATCAAACCATTCTGAACACCTAGGAACTCAACAGAAGATGGAAGAAAAGAATAGCAGCAACTCTCTGAACAGAGAAGCGACCACTTTCTGGAAGGTAGGACATGCAGAGAAGTGAATCCGAGGTGATATTCGGGAAGATAGCGGGGGAGGGGGCCTCCATCAGCCGCTACCAGCAAGTGATAGAGCAGTGGAACACAAAATCGGAACTTTTAGAAGTCAGCTCTGCTGAGGGACATTGCTCCAGTGGCTAAGCGGGGGGCGGAACCCTTGCTGGGACAGTGTGGTCTCAGCACCCTTGGGGTCACAGAAAGACTGGGAGTGCCTGAGTGAGGCAGAGCTCCCAGGTATTGGAGCAGGGAAGCCGGCTGCATAGATGGAGCCAAGGAGTGGGCTCTCAGCTCAGGGTTGCCATAAACCGTGATCCGCAGCACAGTAGGGCCACTGCTCCTCCAGCAGGGACCCAACAAGCAGCAGAGCCGGGGAGACTCGCCTTCCTCCCCTGGGGAGGAACGGCGCGGGAGTGCACCACAAGGATCTGCTGGGTGTGGAGACTCCACACGGGGTCGGGTGCCAGAGATAGAAATGCTCGGTCACAGGCCAGGTGAGCACGGAGTGCGGCCGGAGACTGGGGAGACGGGAGTGACTGACTGCTTTTCTCTGGGGGGCGCACTGAGGAATGGGGCCCTGAGCTCTCGGCTCCTCCAGGACGGAGATTGGGATGCTGCCATTTTCACTTTCGTTCTCCAAAGCTGTACGGAAAGCTTGCAGGGAACAAAAGCTCTCAAGAGCAAACCCGAGCAGATTACTTAGCCGGAACCCGGCAAGGGTGGGACAATTCTGCCTCCGGCAAAGACATTTGGGAACCACAGCAACAGGCCTCTCCCCCAAAAGAGGAAGAACAGCCAGCCAAGACCAAGTTTACTGATCAATGAGAACGGCAGAATTCCAGTGCTAGGGGAATACTGCACATAGAATTCATGGCTTTTCCCCCCCTGATTCTTTAGTCTTTCAAAGTTAATTTTTTTTAAACTTTCTTTTTCAACCAACATCTTTTCAATCCCTTTTTTAAAAAATCTTTTTTGTTTTTCATTTTTAGAGTCATATTCTATCCCTTCATAGTAGTTAACCTTATTTTTGGTGTATAATATATATGTGTGTGTGTATATATATATATAAAGTTGTCCTCTCTATAAAGTTTTGAGATACAGTTTCTTCTAACAGATCAAAATATACCTTAAATCTCTAGTGTATGGCTTTGTTCTACTCTTCTGCCTGATCACATTCTCTCCCTTTTTTTTTTAAAATCCTCTTCTTTCTTTTTTCAACCAACTTCTTATCTTATTAATTCCTTTTATAAAATCTTTTATAATTTTCATCTTTACAGTCATATTCCATCCCTTCATCGTATTAACCCTTATTTTTGTACATATATAAGTTTTTCGTTCTTTCAAATCTTGGGAGGCACTTTCTTCAAAATACGCCCAAAATCTGGTGTGTGGCACTGATCTATGCACCAGCCTGATCATATTTGATCATATTCTGTCTTGTTTTTTGTTTGTTTGTTTGTTTTTATCTTTTTCTTTTTTTTTTCTTTTTTCCTTCTTTCCCTTTCTTTTCCTCTAGTTTCAGGTTTCTCCTGATTTGTTTAGTGTCTGTATTTCTGGGGAAATTTTTACCCTGTTAGCATTTTGATCTCTCTTTCATCTATTCTCCTCTGGACAAAATGACAAGACGGAAAAAATCACCGCAAAAAAAACCCAAAAAAAACCAAAAGGCAGTACCGACTGCCAGGGACCTAATCAATACGGACATTAGTAGGATGTCGGAACTAGAGTTCAGAATGATGATTTTAGATACTAGCTGGCCTTGAAAAAAGCATGGAAGAAATTAGAGAGACCCTTTCTGAAGAAATAAAAGAACTAAAATCTAACCAAGTCGAAATCAAAAAGGCTATTAATGAGGTGCAATAAAAAATGGAGGCTCTAACTGCTAGGATAAATGAGGCAGAAGAGAGAATTAGTGATCTAGAAGACCAAATGATGGAAAATAAAGCTGAGAAAAAGAGAGATAAACAACTACTGGATCATGAGGGCAGAATTCGAGAGATAAGTGATACCATAAGACGAAACATTAGAATAATTGGGATCCCAGAAGAAGAAGAAAGAGAGAGTGGGGCAGAAGTTATATTGGAGCAAATTATAGCAGAGAACTTCCTTAATATGGGGAAGGAAATAGGCATCAAAATCCAGGAGGCACAGAGAACTCTCCTCAAAATCAATAAAAATAGGTCAACACCCTGGAATCTAATAGGAAAACTTACGAGTCTCAGAGACAAAGAGAAAATCCTGAAAGCAGCTTGGGAGAAGAGATCTGGAACCTACAACGGTAGAAACATTAGATGGGCAACAGACCTATCCACAGAGACCTGGCAGGCCAGAAAGGACGGGCATGATATATTCAGAGCACTAAATGAGAAAAATATGTAGCCAAGAATACTATATCCAGCTAGGCTGTCATTGAAAATAGGAGGAGAGATAAAAAGCTTCCAGGACAAACAAAAATTAAAGGAATTTGTGAACATGAAACCAACCGTACAAGAAATATTGAAAGGGGTTCTCTAAGCAAACAGAGAGCCTAAAAGCAATATAGACCAGAAAGGAACACAGACAATATACAGTAACAGTCACCTTACAGGCAATACAGTGGCACTAAATTCATATCTTTCAGTCGTTACCCTGAATGTAAATGGGCTAAGTGCCCCAATCAAAAGACACAGGGTATCGGACTGGATAAAAAAACAAGACCCACTGATATGCTGTCTGCAAGAGACTCATTTTAGACCCAAAGACACCCCAGATTGAAAGTGTGGGGGTGGAAAACCATTTACCATGCTAATGGACACCAAAAGAAAGCTGGGGTGGCAATCCTTATATCAGACACATTAGATTTTAAACCAAAGACTGTAATAAGAGATGAG